TGGAATTTTTAGCATGTATACATTACTGAAACAGTGATGTCTATGTTGGCTTAGGCATGTCATGAGAATGGCTGACGATCTCCTGTATGGAGAATTAGTGCAGGGAAAGTGCCCCAGAGGGAAACCACAGCTGCGATACAAGGATATCTGCAAGTGGGATCTGAAGGCCTTAGGAATGGTCCTCAACAGATGGGAAACCTTGACATCTGAGCATTTAGCCTGGAGGCAGGCGGTGCAGCATGGCCTCTCCCAATCTGAAATGGCACTTATTCAGCAGGCCGAGGCAAAGAGGCAGTCCCGAAACCAGCAAAATCAGGGAGCTGGAGAGGGGACAGATTGTATTTGTCTTCAGTGCAGAAGGGATTATCCCTCTCGAATTGGCCTTCTCAGCCACTAGACACTGTTCCAAGACCTATATTCAGAGCACGTTACCATAATCTCTTGAGACTGAAGGATGCCTAGAACTACTAAGCATCTAATAGCAGGAACTTCATTCTGGAAAACAGATATATTAGCAGGGAAAGTGCCCCAGAGGGAAACCACAGCTGCGATACAAGGATATCTGCAAGTGGGATCTGAAGGCCTTAGGAATGGTCCTCAACAGATGGGAAACCTTGACATCTGAGCATTTAGCCTGGAGGCAGGCGGTGCAGCATGGCCTCTCCCAATCTGAAATGGCACTTATTCAGCAGGCCGAGGCAAAGAGGCAGTCCCGAAACCAGCAAAATCAGGGAGCTGGAGAGGGGATAGATTGTATTTGTCTTTTGTGCAGAAGGGACTATCCCTCTCGAATTGGTCTTCTCAGGCACTATACACTGTTCTAAGACCTGTATTCAGAGCACGCTACCATAATCTCTTTAGACTGAAGGTTACCTAGAACTAAGCATCTAATGGTTTAGCTGGCAGGAACTTCATTCTGCAAAACAGATATATTGAATTTATTCACGTAGATGCTACTGCTATTCCAGATTTGACTACATTCTCTTATCCAGCTCTATTAGACATTAACTCTGGAACTCAAACACCAGATTAATTTCCATCTCTGACCATATGCCAGTTTTAGCTAAAGTACACTTCCTAAATAACATGCCCAAACACTTTCAATGGACTTTACCCCTGGTTTCTTGAACAAGATCAAGCAGGTAATTTCTTCCATTTTGCTGGATAATGGCACTATAGTCCAAACACTAATATACACTCCCTTTGGGACCCATTCAATGTCATCCTGAGGGGTGAATGTATCAAAGAATATAGCTTTATTGAGAAACAAATGCATATTACTGAAAACAGACTGGGAGCCAAAAGCAAAACTTTAGAAGATCATTAAGAAAAAAAATTGTCACCAAGATCACATGGCAGAATTAATTTTGAGAAAAAGAAAAAGAAAAAAGAACAAAAACGGCTTGATCTGAACAAAATACAAATATAAACACATTTCCCACTGCACCAGCAAGCTCCCTGGTCCATGCCCATTCTCACACTAGCTGCAAGATTAGTCACACAATAGAAAGCCTGCTAGAGCAGATTTATGGAAAGACGTAATTTTTACAAAGTCAGAACTTCAGATGAATTTACTCTTCTGATCCTGTTTTGTTTTGCTACTGCCATGTTGCTGAGTTTTTACTTGTCTATTTTTAAAGGAAAACCTTCTCTGTGCATCTGAAAATTTCAAGAAAGAGAATGCGGGGCGGGGAAATCAAAGAATTTCCCCAAACAATCAAGTAAAAGCTAATATACCCAGACATTATATTTTGGGATTTTTTTCTCTACCCAATTTTTTCTTTGAAGAATGAGCCTTAATTTAAAAAGAATTAGCACATATAGGTAAGGTAAAGGTTCCCCTTGACATTTAGTCCAGCCGTATCCGACTCTAGAGCGCGGTGCTCATCCCCGTCTCCAAGCCATAGAACGAGAGTTTTTCCGAAGACAGTTTCCGTGGTCGCCAGTGCGACTTAGACACAGAACGCTGTTACCTTCCCACGTTACCTTCTCACCGAGGTGGTACCTATTTATCTACTCACATTTACATGCCTCCAAACTGCTAGGTTGGCAGGACTTGGGACAAGCGAGAGGAGCTCACTCCATCGCGTGGATTTGATCTTACGACTGCTGGTCTTGTTACCTTATTGCACAGAGGCATAACCCAAGGCTGTTAAAGCTGTTTTCTATGGATTACATTAAATAGAACATTTTAACGCCTTATTTAGCTTGACCTCAATCTCCCGACCATCAAATTTACTAGATTCCAAAAAGCATTAATATACAAAAAATTGTGAGTTTAGCAGATTTCAGTTATGATCTCATAAGGCATTCTAATAATACAGTAGATGCTGGAGCACTCAAAACAGATGGGTCTATGAAGAAATGCTAGTTGTAACTGCAAATATTGCTGCTAACTAGCTTGCTGCAGGATAATAACATTTCACCATTTCACTGGTTGGATAGCTCAGTAAGTTAAGTTTCCGGCTGTGGAGCCAATTATTGGGAGTTAAATTCCCCACTGTTCAATTGGGAGTTTAGTTCTCCCTCCTGGGAGAAAAGCCAGCCTATGTGGCTTTGGGCAAGCTGCACAGTCCCAGGGCACCCCTTAGAGGAAGGGTTTGGTAAACTACTTCTGAGTATTCTCTACCTGGAAAACCCTGAAAAGGGTCACCATAAGTCAGAACTGACTTGACAGCACATGATTATTATTATTAAACAAGCAGATCCATAGCACTAAGAACTGCTGTGAAATCCCAGCAAGACCATCTACCAATAACAAAACACTGCCTAATTGCAGTTGCCTCATTCTTCTGCCAACATCATTTAGCCTTACTCAGTTGGGCTCAATTCCAAGTGAAGCATCTCATTTGATGCTCCCCAGTTTCAATGGGGGATATGGAGCAAGGGCTGGGACACTGCAAATAGGTCATCTGAACCTCCATCACTATAGGAGTATCTCTTTTATTATCCCACCTTTCTCCCAATACAGAAAACCAAGGTAAATTACAACATGATTTAAAAAAACCACACAGCTAAAAACCATCAGTTGTAATAGTAGAACACAATTAAACATATCATCTTGAAACAATTACTGCATTAAAATAATTTAAAAGCATGCCAGAAAAAAAGAAGTAAAAAAATACAGCATCTTTCATTCAAAGTCTCTTCTTCCACAATCAGTCTGGACACTTGACAGGGGGGGTGGGGGAATTTTTTATTTACTGGAAAAGGTGGAGGAGGAGGCCACTTACTGCATCTCTTGGAAAAATGTTTCCTAGCCAGGGAGCAGCCACTGAAGAGGTCCTCATATTTGTCGGTGAGGGTGCTGAGGCCACTAAGGAGCAACCTCTGAACATCTAGAACCCCAGGAAGGCCTGTATGGTGAAATATGATCCTTCAAACAGCCTGGACCCTAATTATAGAGGGCTTCATAGGTCAAAATTGGCATTTTCAATTGTGTGAATAAATGCACTGCTATCTTGCAAAGCTGAACTGACATGGAATTTCTGCTTTTCTCTATAATCAACCCCAGCCGACAGTCTGGCAGCAGCATTTTGGAGACAATGAACTTTCCATGGGCAGTCCAACACAGTGTGTTACAGTAATCCAAAGAGGCGGTACCGAAGATATGTGTCACTGTGAAGAAAAGCAGAACCGAACCATTTCCATCTTGGGCTTTATGGCCAAGGTCAGTGTGATCAGAGCCACGTGGAGACAGCTTGATTCCCAGTGAATGTCAGTCACCTACATCCAGAGGTGCACCTGTATCACTGTTTTGTAACCGTGAGGTAACGAAGACTTCACACTAGGTGGCCAAGCTGGCTGGGGATTTCTGAAGCTGTGGGTCCCAAAATAACTTTCTCAAGGTCACTTCTTAACCTTTACATGATTTCATTTCTGTAAACATATTGTGAGAATCCACAAGTTGAATGTTGTGAGAAAAACTTTCTCCACATCATGTGCATTCAAAGGCTTTGTCGCCAGGGTGGTTTTTGGGATGGTTTAACTGACAGTGATTGACAAAGAAGACATATCTCATAGGCATGGATGGAATTTCTCCCCTGAACCTCTGGTAATGTGTACACCTGAATGGTACCAAAACATTTTCCAGACTAGGCACTGACAGGATTCCTCCCTTGTACAATGTCAAGTATGTCTCTTAAGATTCAGGAAGTGAGCAAGCCATTTTCTACCGCTGGAGAATTCGTTGGGCTTCTTCCTGCTCTGGATTCCAAATGCTCCCTAAACCTCTACAAGGCCTGCAAGCTTTTCAGTTCTGTAGAACCATTCAGCAGAAAAAGTGGTTAAAAAGGGGGTAGGAACCTGAAAATCAAAAAGTGACCAAAAAGTGACCAATTAATGGTCAAAGTACAAAATAGGTAAGTTATAAGTGCTAAAGTTGAGACTGTATGCTTGATTGGTCTCTGACAGACATGAAATAATCATCGTTATGTCCCATCAAGTTAATTTTGACTTATATTGAACCTTTACAGGGTTTTCCAGGTAGAGAATACTTTGAAGTGGTTTACCCTTCCCTTTTTACGAGAGCACTCTGGGAGTCTGCAGCTTCCCAAGCCACACAAGTTGCCTCTACTCATGGGAAGCACAGTGGGGAATCGAATTCCCCACCAAGGGGCCTACTGCCAGATACCAACACCACTGAGCTATCCAGCCAAATGGTAGACATGTAGGTGTCCAATTATACCTTGCAGTACATGCTGGGCTGGAGAGGAAATGATAGGCTCCATTCTTTGAAAACAAAAGGCTAGGAGTGTCTCAGAGATTTGCTTACTGCCTTGGGCAAAATACACAGCTTGCTAAGGCAACACAGAGTAGAAGTACAAGAAACAAAGATTGGCCAATCTGATGAAATTTTAATTTGTTAAAATGAAAGTGACCTATGGATTTTTTTCCCTCTGGCACCAACACATTACCTTCTACGTGTAAAGTCCGAACTATGACCAAAACATTTCCACAGTACTGTACTGGCATTTTCATTGTTTCTTTCCTGCATGGACTCTCTGATGCCTCACAAGTTGTGAGTTCCGACCAAACACTTTCCCACATTCCTGGCAACTGTATGGTTTCTCTTTCCTGTGGATTCTCTGATGGTACAGAAGGGTTGAATTCTGAGAAAAATATTTCCCACACTCCCGGCATTTGTATGGTTTCTCTCCTGTGTGGACTCGCTGGTGAATGACAAGAACTGAACCAGAAACAAAACATTTCCCACACTCCTGGCATTTATATGGTTTCTCTCCTGTATGAATTCTCTGGTGGGCAACGAGTTGGGAATTCTGAGCAAAACGTTTTCCACATTCTTGGCACTTGTATGGTTTTTCCCCTGTGTGGATTCTGTGGTGAGTCAGGAGATCTGAACTAAAAGCAAAGGATTTTCCACATTCCTGGCATTTGTACGGTTTCTCTCCTGTGTGGACTCTCTGATGATATAGAAACGCCGAACGATGTGAAAAACATTGCTCACACTCCTGGCATTTGTATGGTTTCCCTCTTGTGTGGATTCTCTGGTGGCTTAGAAGCTGTGAATTTGAAGCAAAACATTTCCCACATGCCTCACACTTGTATGGTTTTTCTTTTGTGTGGAATCTCTGGTGTTTCACAAGCTGTGAATAGGAAGCATAACATTTCCCACAATCTGAGCATATATACGGTTTCTCTCTTATGTGAACTCTCTGGTGCCTTACAACATTTGAACTATGAGAAAAGCATTTTCCACATTCCTGGCACTTGTAAGGTTTCTCTCCCTTGTGGACTCTCAGGTGTCTCCTCAGATTCGAATTCTGAGCAAAGCATTTCCCACACTCCTGGCAATTGTATGGCTTCTCTCCCGTGTGGACTCTCTGGTGGCTTGAGAACTGAGATATATCAGCAAAACATTTCCCACAGTGGTGGCATTTGTATGGTTTCTCTCCTGTGTGGACTCTCCGGTGGCTCACAAGTTGTGGCTTTGAAGCAAAACATTTCTTGCACATCTGGCATTTGAATGGTTTCACTCCTGTGTGGACTCTTCGGTGGCTCACAAGCTGTGAATTACTAACGAAACATTTTTCACAATCCTCACACTTGTATGGTTTCTCCCCTGTGTGGATTCTCTGGTGAATCACAAGCTGTGAATTCTGGGCATAGTTTTTCCCACATTCCTGGCATTTGTAAGGTTTCTCCCCTGTGTGGACTCTCTGATGCTCCAGAATGTGTGAGTTGGAAGCAAAACATTTTCCACAATCTTGACATTTATATGGTTTCTCTCCTGTGTGTGCTCTCTGGTGGATCTTAAGTCCAGACTTGTAAGCATAACATTTCCCACAATCCTCACATTTGTATGGCTTCTCTCCTGTGTGGACTCTCTGGTGGATCACAAGATTTGAAACTCGAGGAAAGCATTTCCCACACTCTTGGCATTTGTATGGTTTCTCTCCTGTGTGGATTCTCTGATGCTCCCGGAGGTGTGATTTGCAAGCAAAACATTTTCCACACACTTCGCACTCAAAGCGTTTCTTTCCACTTTGGGGCTTTTCGTGAAATGTGTTTTGGTTGATGCATGTGTAGCTTGACTCCGTCATACCATCCTCCTCTTCTGTGTGGGTTTGCTGGTGTCTGGCAAGATCAAGTTTGTCCATAAAATGCTGTTCTTGCTCTATATGTACCCTCGTTTCCCTCCAATTATCTCCTGGGGGGGGGGGAAAGAAACAGAGAAAGTTGGCGGGAGCTGGGACAAGCAACGGGAGCTCACTCCATCGCGTGGATTCGATCTTACGACTGCTTGGTCTTCTGACCCTGCAGCACAGGTTTCTGCGGTTTAGCCCACAGCGCCACCATGTCCCTTGGCTTCCAAGGCTGACGGATAAAAGGAGCTAAATGAACTGTGATTCTGAAGGAAACACTGGACACGTCCCCTGCCCCTGTATATTCCAATCATACATCTCATGCCATCCTTCCCGTGGTCACATGGCCACTGCGACTTAGACACGGAACGCTGTTACCTTCCCAACGAGGTGGTCCCTATTTATCTACTCGCATTTGCATGATTTCGAACCGCTAGGTGGGCGGGAGCTGGGACAAGTGACGGGCGCTCACTCCGTCACGTGGGTTCGATCTTATGACTGCTTGGTCTTCTGACCCTGCAGCACAGGTTTCTGCGGTTTAGCCCACAGCGCCACCATGTCCCTTGGCTTCCAAGGCTGACGGATAAAAGGAGCTAAATGAACTGTGATTCTGAAGGAAACACTGGACACGTCCCCTGCCCCTGTATATTCCAATCATATGTCTCATGCCATCCTCCCCATATTAAGGGTTCAACTCATCTTGTTTGTATCCCATTATACATGCACTGGTATCTAGACATATGAAACTATAAATATTTCCCTCCCTTCCTTTTCCATCAGTTGGTTGCTTCTTGTGCCATTGGTTCAGTTTTTGGCCCATGCTTGTTCCCTCAGCCATTTCAATGGGTGGTTCATTGACAGTTCTTCTAAACAACTGCCAGTAGGTTTTATTGTTGCTGTTGTTTGGTATCAAGCTGGCTTACCCAATTGTTTGCCATCATTCCACTCCTCAGAATCTGGCACCCAGATGTCATCCTCCTGCTCCATATGAGAAATAAGCTCAGGCTTTGGACCTGGGAAATATGTTAGGGAAAGAAAAGAGCAATGAGAATCAGTCATCATATACACAAATGAATGTGCCTGCCTTGCAATTTTTAAGAATCTTAAGACGAGCCATGATGGATCAGACACAAAGCCTATGGAGTCCAGCATTCTATCCACACCAATCAGTTTCCCTGGAAAGCCTGGCAGGAAGACGTGAGGGGAAGCTCAACCTCCATTTCGTGTTGCACAGCAACTGATACACAGAGGCATACTACTAGAATATTGGAGCCAATGCACAACAATCCTGTTTCACTGTGCTTTTCTCCACTTACCTGTACTTTGCTGTGAGGTAACTTCCATATTCTCCAAAATAATCTGATCAGAAAACCTTGGGCTTTCCTCAAGCCAGACGATCAACTCAAGGTTGATGAGTTGGAATTCTGTTCAAAATTGAGAGAAAGGGATGAAATATTCAGAATGTGAAGCATGGAATTGTACACTAATCAAAAGCAGGGGGGAGGGTATTAATACAGATACTTTTCTGGACCAGTTCAGAACTAGATTTTTCTAAGGAAATGTTTTGGAGAATATAGAACATGATGTGGGTTAATGTTCCCTTCCAGGGCCACAGGGGAAATTCCTTCTTCAATTTCAGAGCTTTGAATTATAGTAGAAAAGATTTAAAACATTTTGGTAACCACACTTACATCTTTCTGATGCACAGAGGCTACTAAATTATCTTTGTAGCTTTTTGTTATCTTGTTGCTAGTCAACATTTTTGAAAAATCAAGGGACAGGCATGACGTGTTTCTGAGCTGTATGCTGATACCTAGAAGGTGCCTGTGGGAAAGAGGATGCTAGACTAAAGGGGTTTTGCTGTGACAATGGACAAGTTTTTACTTTCTTTTTCTGAAAGCATTAAAATCAGCTTTTGGCATTAGAGAATCACGGGCCTCTGAAAAATCAGTACAGAAGGATGTATAAGAAAAGATGTTCTTTATTTACAAACTGTCCCTCTCTTCAATTCCCTGAAATACAATACCTGAAAGGTACAGAGGAAAAGTAGGATCTGTTCTTGATTACCCCAGGATGCAGGACTCAACTTAACGGGCTCAAGTTACAGGAAGTCAGATTTGGGCTGAATAGCTGGAGAAACCTCTTAACTGTTAGAGTAGTGTGACAATGAAACTAATTACCTTGGGAGGTGGTGAGCACTCCAGTGCTGGAGACATTTAAGGAAAAAAATGTACAAACATCTGTCAGATCTGCTTTGACTTGGATTCCTGCATTGAGCAGCGGGTTTGACTTGATGGCCTTATAGACCCATTCCAATTCCTTTAGTCTATGATTTAACCTCCAAAAGTACACCCATATTGTTTTTGTCCAAAAAAAAGGGAGAGTGTCCCCTTTATTTTGCCATAAAATATCTGATTCTGAACCCACAGTGCTCATCACCCTTCTGTCAAACAAAACAGTGCTCACCACATCCTCAAATGCCACTGGGCCTAAAAAAGATTAAACTCAGCCCTAAGCACATACATAGTGTCTGGAATACATATGCTGTCCCTTTCAAGGTAAACCCCTATTAGTACCTGTGCTACTCCACAGCAGAATGTGGTAGTGCCAGATGGTGTAAATCAACACATGCCAAACAACTGAACGTAGTTCTTAGTGATTTATGTAAGATTACTACTGGTTGCCTGAAACCTACCCCCTTTGAAAAAAATTATTCTTTAGCTGGCATTGCCCCTCCAGAGTTATGTGGGGAGATACTAGCAAAGCAACAGAATGTGGTAGTGTCAGATGGTGTAAATCAACACATGCCAAACAAGTGAATGTAGTTCTTAGTGATTTATGTAAGATTACTACTGGTTGTCTGAAACCTACCCCCTTTGGAAAAAAATTATTCTTTAGCTGGCATTGCCCCTCCAGAAGTATGTGGGGAGGTATACTAGCAAAGAATGAACAAAATAAGTAATACAGCACCAAACTCTCGCACTTCATGGATACCAGCACCCAGATGACAGCTATAATCAAGGAAAAAGTTTTCTGCACCACGTGTAAAAATGAAAATCTAATAAGTGGCTGAGATAATGCAATTGAAAAAGTCTGCTTCTAATGGTCTTATTATTTCAATTTGTTTTTAACTGTATGTATATTTCATATACTGTACATCCATAATATTAAATTATGCTATGCTCTGATACATAAAAAGAAAGTTTACTTTTGTGTTGACATCACAGTTAAAGCAGAAATTTAAACTGGGGGCTTTAAGGTAGCAACTGACCGTGACCCATTCTGATGGGCCCATTCTGATGCAGGCGTTTTGCATCAGAACGGTCCCAAGTTCAGTTTCTGGCATCCATTGTTAAGACAGGAGTGGTCAAATTGTGGATGACCAAATGTTCCTGGACTATTAATCCCATCAGCCTTTAGGATCAGTTATGACACCTAAGATTGATGGAAGCTTTTCTCAAGGTTCGTTTCTATTTGGGAAAGCAATTACATTTTAAATAATATTTTTAGCTTTTTAAAACAAAATTTGAATGTGTTCTTACCCTGTTTTCCCCAAAATAAGCCCTAACCTGAAAATAAGCCCTAGTACGATTTTTCAGGATGCTCATAATATAAGCCCTACCCCCAAAATAAGCCCCAGTTAAGTGAAACCCCACCCTCCACCCTTGTGCAGCAACCAGAAGAAGATGACAGGACTGTATTTGAATAAACGTAGTTTGTTGTACATAAAAAAAACATTCTCTGAAAATAAGCCCTAATGCATTTTGGAGCAAAAATTAATATAACACCCTGTCTTATTTTGGGGAAAACAGGGTATTCCACTTTATTACAATAGTGTGATTCTGGTGTATCTCCTTCTTGTCACTCATGATGCAATTTTTATAAAATAAATAAACGTGCCTTATCTTGGAGGATTGCCACTTTACACTTTGCAGCAGCACTCATTCCTTTCTTACATACAGTATTTTGGAAGACAACAACTGCAGAATCTATTTGTGATTTCCACATCCCTGTGTCTTCCATATCCTGTTTATCGGTTGCATATTTAGAAACTCAGAAAACAGATCTGGAAGGAACTCTGTTTGGAGTTGGTGGAGTGGAATAAGCAATTCTGAAATCCCTTTAAAAACGGAGGCGAGGGGTGCCTGCCAGCTTCCGCCTCCCTCTCTCATCATCACCAGCAAAGCATCACCTCCCATCGCTGCCCTTCCCACCAACCGCTCTCTTATCACCTCTTCCCACCCTCCAGCCCCATCTTTCCCTCCTCACGGATGGCTTTTTGTCGTCGTCCCCCCCCCGACTCAATCCTGCACCCCTAACACTCCCCGGGCCTCCTCATTTACCTTCTTCATGATCTCAAATGAAGCCCTACTCCGAGGCAAGTTCATAATTTAGAAAAATCCGCCCCCCCCCCGCACCCACTAGCGACGCACCTCTTGTGGGTCTTTTTCTCCCATCTGAGGGCAAGCTTGGGTTTCTACTTCCCATCACGTGACCGAAGCCGCGCCAGTCTCCTGGCAGAGCCCGCACCAGTCCCTCCAATCTACAGCCTGAGGACCACGATTAGGGAACAATATATGACTGCTGGCTTTGAACCACCCTCCAGCCCCATCTTTCCCTCCTCATGGCTGGCTTTTTGTCGTCCCCCCCCCCGACTCAATCCTGACCCCCTACCACTCCCCGGGCCTCCTCATTTACCTTCTTCATGATCTCAAATGAAGCCCTCCTCCGAGGCAAGTTCATAATTTAGAAAAATCCGCCCCCCCCCCGCACCCACTAGCGACGCACCTCTTGTGGGTCTTTTTCTCCCATCTGAGGGCAAGCTTGGGTTTCTACTTCCCATCACGTGACCGAAGCCGCGCCAGTCTCCTGGCAGAGCCCGCACCAGTCCCTCCAATCTACAGCCTGAGGACCACGATTAGGGAACAATATATGACTGCTGGCTTTGAACGAGGCGGGGACAGAGCTGTGTTTCACATGATCTCTTTCTTACCCTTTCTTACCTTTTCTAGTGTCTGTCCCATTTGTCTAAAGTTCTCCCCTTATTTTAAAATTGTTTTTATTTATATTGTCATATTATTGTTGTAAGCCGCCTAGAGTGGTCTTAATCAACTAGATAGGCGGGATATAAATAAATAAATAAATAAATAAA